TTGGTGGTGCACTTGTCATTGTTGTTTTTTAGCTGGCGCCAGCCAGGTTCAAACCTGCCAGCCTTGGTGTAGAGGCCGGCACTGTACCCACTGAGCTACAGGAGCTGCCTGAAATAGGACTATTTTCATTTCCATAGTAAATATTAGTGATGTAAAGCAAATAGCATTAGGAATAATTCTTTTTTTCTTTTCAGACACAGTCTCACTTTGTCACCCTTGGTAGAGGGCCATGGCATCATAGCTTACAACCACCTCACACTCTTGCGTTCAGGCATCCTCTTCAGCCTCCTGAGTACCTGGGACTATAAATACCGGCCATCATGCCTGGCTAATTTTTAGAGACAAGGTCTTGCTCTTGCTCAGGCTGGTCTCGAACTCCTAAGCTGAAGCAATCCACCAGCCTCTGTCTCCCAGAGTGCTAGGACCACAGCTATGAGCCATTGTACCTGCCCTTTGGATAGTAATTCTTTACCTTACTGAGTCTGTCTCCTAGGTGGCCTATCACAGAGTTATATACAGTGGACTTAAAAACTTAATCCTCACTTATTGTTAAGTAGTCAGTATGCATTAATAAAGCAGTAAACTTCCAGATAGATGATTAATATGATCCAATTATAAATATAACTAAATGACCATATCATCAATATATTTAAGAAGCAACACAATTGGGCATTACACTGGAACAAAAGATGATTCTGAGATTTCAAATTTGGTACGGTAATATTACTAACAATAATAATTGAGCAAAGAATGATAAGATTGCTTAGGGAGATAAAAAAATTTTTAAAAGCGCAAGAAAGGTCTGCAAGATTGCTAATGCTGCTATAAAATATAACATTTCATTTAGTGAGTTATAATAATTTAAGATTTCTATTTTTAATATGAATGCTGTTTCTGCCATTCCTCTTCTGTAATCTTTGTAACACTTCTCCATGTAGGATTCAGTTTTGATACTGATAGGATTCTGAGTTCATGTTAGTAATAAATACAAAGGGGCAGATAAGAGAATAAAAGACAACTTGGAATATAATAATCAAATTTTAAACATGAAAGCAGACTCACAGTACATTGTATATGTGAATGTATTATATCACGTAACCCCTCATAGGCTCAATGATGTATTCAACATTTCTACCTGATTCACAGCTCTCTGGTTTATGGCGCTCTGGTTCACTCTGGCTTTGGATGGTCAAAATCTCTGTGGAGCAGCAGTTTATCAATCTATCCTCAATGTCAATTCCATGCTTGGTAGTAAGATCTGATAAAGAAGAGAAGAAACTCTATTATCAGCCAAAGTACCATTAAATTAATTTTTTGTAACATTGTTCATGGCTTTTTTCCTTTTAAAGTATCTTCATTGCTTTACTATAGGCCAATTTTCCATTTAGAGAAAAGTAGAGATTTAGAGTTCTAAGGAGAATGCTTAGTCAGGTGAATACTCCCCCATGCACACCCTCTTTTACTCCTCAATCATCAATCAACATTACTGAAGGAAAATAAAAATGGGAATAATGTATATAATCATTGGAAGCTAAGCTAGGGTGGGAAATCCAAAAATCACAAACTTCAAAGAGTGAGATCTATGCCCTATTTACTGGAATTCTACTTGTTTATATTATTGTTATTTTTTAAATTTGTACATTAATGCATTTATGGGGTTCAGGGTACTGCTTTGATATACAATGTGAAATGCTTACATTGAACTAGTAACACATCCATAAATCCATCACAATTATACTCATTTTTAATAGTTTTGAAATGTTCCAGTGCATCATGCAAATTAAGTGAGGTCCCCCCAACTGCCCTCCCTCCTTTCATATTCCCCTTCCCCTTCCCTCTCTCTTCTCTTTCCTTCTACTCACTGGACTATAGCTATGTTTTGCCATTTGTATGAGTATGTAGGTGGTCATATATTGATTTCATAGTAGTATTGAGTACATTGGATACTTTTTTCCCATTTTTGAGATACTTTACTAAGAAAAATATGTTCCAGCTTCATCCAGGTAAACATAAAAGACATGAAGTCTCCATCTTTTTTATGGCTGCATAGTATTCCATGGTGTACATTTACCACAATTTGTTAATCCATTCGTTGGTCAATGGGCACTTGGGCTGTTTCTGTGTCTTGGCTATTATGAATTAGGTTGCAGTAAATATTCTGCTGCTATTGTCTTTGTTGTAAAATGATTTTTTCTATCATCTGGGTATATACTTAGTAGAGGAAATGCAGGATTGAACGGTATGTCTATTTTTAGCTCCTTGAGTGTTCTGCAAACTTCTTCCCAAAAAGGTTAGAATGCATTCTCACCAGTAGTGTAGAAGTGTTTCCTTCTCTCTGCATCCACGTCAACATTTGTAGTTTGAGGATTTTGTCATGTGCTAATTGTAGTGCTAATCTTACTTGAGTTAGATGATATCTCAAAGTGGTTTTGATTTGCATTTCTCTGATGATTAAGGACAATGAGCATTTTTTCATGTGTTTGTAGGCCTTGCACCTGTCTTCATCAGAGAATTTTCTGTTCAAGTCTCTTGCCCACATAGAAGTGGGGTTATTTATTCTTTTCTTATTGATTAGTTTGAGTTCTCTGTAGATTCTAGTTATCATACCTCTTCCCCCATTCTGAAGGTTGTCTGTTTGCTTTACTTACTGTGTTCTTGGCTGTGCAAAAGGTTTTTAGTTTGATCAGATCCAAGATGTATTTTTGGTGTTGCTTCAATTGCCCAGGGGGTCCTCAGATAATATTCTCCCAGGCCAATTTCTTCAAGTGTTTTCCCTGCACTCTCTTCCAGTATTTTTATAGTTTCATGTCTTAAGTTTAAATCTTTTATCCAGTGAGAATCAATTTTTGTTCATGGTGAAAGGTAGGAGTCCAGTTTCAGTCTTCTACAAGTCATCCAGCACCATTTGTTAAATAGGGAGTCTTTCCCCCACTGAATATTTTTGATAGGCTGGTCAAAGATCAAATGGTGATAAGTAGCTGGGTTCATCTCTTGGTTCTCTATTCTGTTCCATAAACCTACTGCTCTGTTTTTGTGCCAATACCATGCTGTTTTGATAACTATAGATTTATAGTATAGTCTGAAGCCTTTTTTTTTTGAGACAGAGCCTCAAGCTGTCCCCCTGGATACAGTGCCATGGCATCACAGCTCACAGCAACCTCCAACTCCTGGGCTCAAGTGAGTCTCCTGTCTCCGCCTCCCAAGTAGCTGGGACCACAGGTGCCCACCACAACGCCTGGCTATTTTTTTGGTTGCAGCCATCATTGTTGTTTTGGGCAGGCCTGGGCTGGATTCAAACCCACCACCTTAGGTGTATGTGGCTGGCGCCTTAGCCACTTGAGCCACAGGTGCTGAGCCTAGTCCGAAGTCTTAATGTGATCTTCTGCTTTGTTCTTTTTTCTGAGTAATGTATTTGCTATTCAATGTTTTTTCTGATTCCATATAAAACAAGGTACTATTTTTTCAAGTTCTTTAAAGTATCATAACGGTGCTTTAATAGGGATTGCATTAAATCTGTAGATTGCTTTGGGTAGTATGGACATTTTAACAATGTTGATTCTTCCCAGCCATGAGTATGGCTTCCATTTGCCTGTATTACACAAGTCCATCCCTTCACCCTGAGTCTATTTTTATCCTTAAAGGTAAGGTGAGATTCTTGTATACAGCAGATATCCTTTCTGAATTTATATATCCAGTCAGCCAGCCTGTGCCTCTTTAAAGGACAATTTAAATCATTAACATTAATTAAGAGAATTGATAAGCCTGGATGTGTTTTGGGTGTCATGATTTTCAGATATTCAGTGGCCATTTTTAATCATTTCACCACTCTGGAAGTTGGGTTTTGTTCAAAAATTTCTGGGTGAATTATTTTGGAGGTAGAGCATTGTGCTCATCATTGTGGAGCATGGGTCTGAGAATATCCTGGAGAGCTGGTTTAGTTATGGCAAATTTCTTCAACACGTCTATATCATTAAAGTATTTGATTTCTCTGTCACAGATGAAACTCAGTTTAGCTGGATAGAGGATCCTAGGCTGGAAGTTGTTTTGTTTTAGGAGACTGAAGGTCGATGACTATCTTCTTCTGGCTTGAAATGTTTCAGCTGAGAGATCTGCAGTCATTCTGATATTTCTCCCTTTGTAGGTGATGCTTTTCTTATGTCTGGTTGTTTGCAGAATTTTCTTCTTTGTCTTAACTTTGGCAAAGTTAATCACAATGTGTCTAGGAGATGCTTAATTGGATTGAGTCTTGCTGGGGTTCTGAAAGTGTCTGCTATCTGAAGTTCTATATCTCTTGTAATGCTTGGGAATTTTTCCTTCAAAATCTCTTAGAGTAGAGCATCTGTACCTTTAGGACCATCCTCTTCTTCAGAAATTCCTATAAGATGAATGTTTGATCTTTTGGAGCGATCCCACAACTCTCTCAAGGAGTGATCAGTTTTTGCTCTCCATTTGTCTTCCTCTTTGAGCATCTGGGAATGTTCAAAAGCTTTATCTTCAGTTTCGAGATCCTTTCTTCTGCCTGGTCAACTCTATTACTGACGGATTCTACTCTATTTTGGAGTTCCTCAACTAACTTTTTCATTTCCTTGAGCTCTGCTATCTCTTTTCTCTTTATGTCCATATCTTTGGTGACTTGGGCTTTGAATTCATTAATTTCTTGAGATAACTTTAAAACTACTCTTTGAAATTCCATTTCCATCTTTTCTTCCATTCTATTTATCTTATTTGCCATCTGTATTCTGAATTCAATTTCTGACATTGCTGCCATTTCTCTATGCATGGCATCTTCAGTTATATCTCCTTTGTCATTTCTTGGGGGTGTTGATCTACTCTGGTTATTCATGTTGCCAGAGTTCTTCTGTTGGGTCTGCACCATGTTTATTTTCCACCATTTGGTTATTAGAACTGGTAGGGTGAGATTGCATTTGGGTTCCCAGGTAGTAGAGATAGCCCCTTACCAAAGCACTAGGCTTTGTAATTGTGGTTTATCTCCTACAAACTTACAAAGGCCCCTTTTAGAATTTTAGCTGGTGGGACAGTGCAAGTTACCTCTGTTTTGATATCAGACAACCTCTACCCTATCCTAAGAAACCACAGTATTAGGTTTAAATCTCGACTGTGAGGAGATACAAACAGCTGTGGGGCCCAGTCCCCATCCTTCAGTTCTTTTCGGCTATAGAACTTTGAAGGTCAACCTCAGAATGTCCCCAAGTGGATAGCCCCAGACACAAGTTCCAACCAATTTGTCTCAGGCAGTGCAAACCCTGCCCAACAGAGAGGGATTCAAAAGTCTCCAACAACATAATTGGAGCAAGAGATCCATACTTCTGCCTGCCAGACTCAGTGCACACTCTTGTCAGCCTCTCTACTCACAGGCCCAGCTGGAGCTAGGAGTCACGCCCCCACCCACTGTTCTCAATCCATATCCAATTAGCCTCTGTTTGCCAGACCAGTTGGAGTCAGGGGACCATGCTCCTGCCTGCCAGTCTCATTCCATTGCCTGGCAAGCCTCTGTTCATAGGCTGTGTTTGAGTCAAGACACCAAGCCCCGCCCTCTGGTCTCAGTCCACACACAGCTAGCCTCTGCTTCCCAGACCAGTTGGAGTCAGGGACCACGCCCCAACCTGCCAGTCTCTACTTGTTTATATTAATACTACCATTTTGCTACATGTTCTCTCAGCTGTGTGACACATTTTTGCCTATCTGTTTTTTACATTTTGGCTTTCTTTCATTTTTTTTTTTGTTTGTTTGTTTTTTTGAGACAGAGTCTTACTATGTTGCCCTTGGTAGAGTGCCATGGCATGACAGCTCACAGCAACCTCAAACTCTTGGGTTTAAGATATTCTCCTGCCTCAGCCTCCCAAGTAGCTGAGGCTACAGGCTCCCACCATGATATCCACCTGTTTTTTTATTTTGGTGGTGCACTTGTCATTGTTGTTTTTTAGCTGGCCCAGGCTGCATTCAAAACTGCCAGCCTCAGTATGGTGGCTGGCATCCTACTCACTGAACTATGGGCACCACCTGAAATAGTACTATTTTTATTTCCATACTAAATATTAGTGATGGTAGGCAAATAGCATTATAAATAAGTAATTCTTTTTTTTTTTTTTTTGAGACAGAGTCTCACTTTGTCATAGGGTGCCATAGCATCATAGCTCACAGCAACCTCAAACTCTTAGGCTCAGGCAATCCTCTGCAGCCTCCTGAGTACCTGGGACTATAAGTGCCTGCCATCATACCTGGCTAATTTTTAGAGATGGGGTCTCACTCTTGCTCAGGCTGTTCTCAAACTCCTGAACTGAAGTAATCCACCAGCCTCAGTCTCCCAGAGTGCTAGGATTACAGCTGTGAGCCATTGTACCTGGTCTTTGGATAGTAATTCTTTACCTTACTGAGTCTGTCTTCTAGATGGCCTATCACAGAGTTATATATTTATACAGTGGACTTAAAAACTTAGTCCTAACTTATTATTAAGTAGTCAGTATGCTTTTATCACTTTCATAAACAAAGCAAGTACACTTCCAAATAGATGATTAATATGATCCAATTATAAATGTAATTAAATGACAGTATCGTCAATACATTTAAGAAGCAACACAGGCTTGGCGCTTATGGCTCAAGAGACTAAAGCGCCAGCCACATACACCTGAGTTGGCAGGTTTGAATCCAGCTCGAGCCAGCCAAACAACAATGACGGCTGCAACCAAAAAATACCTGGGCACTGAGGTGGGTGCCTATAGTCCCAGCTACTTGGAAGGTGGAGGCAGGTCAATCACTTGAGCCTAGGAGTTGGAGGTTGCTGTGGGCTGTGATGCCACAGCACTCTACCCAGGGTGACAGCCTGAGGCTCTGTCTCAAAAAAAAAAAAAAAAAAAAAAAGAAGCAAAACAATTGGGCATTGCACTGGAACAAAAGGTGATTCTGAGATTTCAAATTTGGTAAGGTAATATTACTAACAATAGTAATAGAGCAAAGAATGATAGGATTGCTTTGGGAGCTAAAAAATGTTTAAGAAGTGTAAAAAAGGTCTGCAAGATTGCTAATGCTGCTATTAAATATAAAATTTTATTTACTAAGTTATAATAATTTAAGATTTCTATTTTTAATATTAATGCGGTTCCTGCCATTCCTCTTCTCTAATGTTTGTAATGCTCCTCCATGTAGGATTCAGTTTTGATGCTGATAATATTCTGAGTTCATGTTAGCAATAAATACAAAGGGGCAGATAAGAGAAAAAAGGATAACTCCTATTAACTTTAGGAGTATACTAACCAAATTTTAAACATGAAAGTGGACTCAGAGTACATTGCATATGTGAATGTACTGTATCAGGTAACCCCTCAAAGCTATTCAACATTTCTACCTGATTCACAGCTCTCTGGTTCATGGCACTCCGGTTCACTCTGGCTTTGGACGGTCAAAATCTCTGTGGAGGAGCAGTTTATCAATCTATCCTCAAGGTCAACTCTATGCTTGGTAGTAAGATCTGAAAAAAAGAGGAGAAACTCTACTATCAGCCAAAGTACCATTAAATTAATTTTTTCTAACCTTGTTCATGGCTTTTTCCTTTTAAAGTATGTTCACTGCTTTATTATAGGCTAATTTTATGTTTAGAGAAAAGCAGAGATTTAGACATCTGAAGAAAATGCTGAGTCAGGTGAATACTCATCCATGCACACCCTCTTTTACTCCTCAAACATTAACCAAAATTACTAAAGGAAATAATAATGGGAAAAATCAACATAGTCATTAGAAGCTAAGCTACAGTGGGAAATCCAAAAGTCACAAACTTCAAAGAGTGAGATCTATGCCCCAATTAGCTGGAATTCTACTTGTTTATATTAATACTACCATTTTGGTACATGTTCTCCTAGCTGTCTGACATATTTTGCCTGTCTGTTTACTTTTTACCTTTTGGCTTTCTTTCTTTTTTTTTGTTCTTTTTCTTTTTGAGATAGAGTCTCACTATGTTGCCCTCAGTAGAGTGTTATGGTATCACAGCTCACAGCAACCTCAAACTCTTGGGCTTAAGCGATTCTCTTGCCTCAGCCTCCCAAGTATCTGAGACTACAGGCACTGGCCACAATGCCCGGCTGTTTTTTTGTTGGTGGTGCACTTGTCATTGTCACTTTTTAGCTGGCCCGGGCCGGGTTCGAACCTGTCAGCCTCAATGTAGTGGCCGGCGCCCTACCCACTGAGCTGCAGTGCCACTCGAAATAGTACTATTTTTATTTCCATACTAAATATTAGTGATGTTAAGCAAATAGCACTATAAATAGTAATTCTTTTTTTTTTTTGAGACAGGGTCTCACTTTGTCACCCTTGGTAAAGTGCCATGGCATCATAGCTCACAGCAACCTCAAACTCTTGGGCTTAGGCAATCCTCTTCAACCTCCTGAGTACCTGGGACTATAAGTGCCTGCCATCATGCCTGCCTAATTCTTAGAGATGGTGTCTCACTCTTGTTCAGGCTGGTCTGGAACTCCTGAGCTCAAGCAATCCAGCTGCCTCCATCTTCCAGAGTGCTAGGATTATAGCTGTGAGCCATTGCACCTAGCTTTTGGATAGTAATTCTTTACCTTACTGAGTCTGGCTTCTAGATAAGCATACAGTGGACTTAAAAACTTAATCCTCACTTATTGTTAAGTAGTCAGTATGCTTTTATCACTTTCATAAATAAAGCAGTAAACTTCCAGATAGATGATTAATATGATCCAATTATAAATGTAACTAAATGACAGTATCATCAATACATTTAAGAAGCAATACAATTGGGCATTACACTGGAACAAAAGATGATTCTGAAATTTCAAATTTGGTAAGGTAATACTACTAACAATAATAATAGAGTAAAGAATGATAGGATTGCTTTGGGAGATAAATTTCTTTTTCTTTTTCTTTCTTTTTTTTTTTTTTGAGACAAAGCCTCAAGCTGTTACCCTGGGTAGAGTGCTGTGGCAACCTCCAACTCCTGCCTCTGTCTCCCAAGCACCTGGGACTACAGGTGCCTACCACAACACCTGGCTATTTTTGGGTTGCAGCCGTCATTGCTGTTTGGCAGGCCGGGACTGGAATAGAACCTGCCAGCTCAGGTGTACCTAGCTGGTGTCTTAGCTGCTTGAGCTATAGGCTTTGAGCCAAAAACTTTTAAAAAGCATAAGAAACATCTGCAAGATTGCTAATGCTGCTATTAAATATAAAATTTTATTTACTAAGTTATAATAATTTAAGATTTCTATTTTTAATATTAATGCGGTTCCTGCCATTCCTCTTCTCTAATGTTTGTAATGCTCCTCCATGTAGGATTCAGTTTTGATGCTGATAATATTCTGAGTTCATGTTAGCAATAAATACAAAGGGGCAGATAAGAGAAAAAAGGATAACTCCTATTAACTTTAGGAGTATACTAACCAAATTTTAAACATGAAAGTGGATTCAGAGTACATTGCATATGTGAATGTACTGTATCAGGTAACCCCTCAAAGCTATTCAACATTTCTACCTGATTCACAGCTCTCTGGTTCATGGTGCTCTGGTTCACTCTGGCTTTGGACGGTCAAAGTCTCTGTGGAGCAGCAATTTATCAATCTATTCTCAGGGTCAACTCCATGCTTGGTAGTAAGATCTGAAAAAAAGAGAAGAGACTCTACTATCTGCCAAAGCACCATTAAATTAATTTTTTCTAACCTTGTTCGTGGCTTTTTACTTTTAAAGTATCTTAATTGCTTTATTGTAGGCCAATTTTTTTAGAGAAAAGCAGAGATTTAGACATCTGAAGAAAATGCTGAGTCAGGTGAATACTTCCCCATGCACACCCTCTTTTACTCCTCAGTCAAAATTACTAAAGGAAAATAAAAATGGGAAAAATGTATATAATCAGTAAAAGCTACACTAGGTGGGAAATCCAACAGTCACTATGTCAAAGAGTGAGATCTATGCCCCAATTAGCTGGAATTCTACTTGTTTATATTAACACTACCATTTTGGTACATGCTCTCCTAGCTGTCTGACACATTTTGCCTGTCTGTTTACTTTTTACCTTTTGGCTTTCTTTTGTGTTTTTTTTTTTAATTTTTATTTTTTTGAGACAGAGTCTCACTATGTGCCCTTGGTACAGTGCCATGGCATCATAGCTCATAGCAACCTCAAACTCTTTGGCTTGAGCCATTCTCTTGCCTCAGGCTCCCAAGTAGCTGGACTACAGCACCTGCCACAATCCCTGGCTGTTTTTTTGTTGGTGGTGCATTTGCCCTTGTTGTTTTTTAGCTGGCCCAGGCCAGGTTCAAACCTGCCAGCCTTGGTGTAATGGCCGGCACCCTACCCAATGAGCTGCGGGCGCTACTCAAAATAGGACTATTTTTATTTCTATACTAAAATTAGTGATATTAAGTAAACAGAATTATGAATGGTAATTTTTTTTTCAGACATTATCTCACTTTGTCACCCTTGGTAGAGTGCCATGGCATCATAGCTCACAGCAACCTCAAACTCTTGGGCTCAGGCAATCCTCTTCAGCCTCCTAAGTATCTGGTACTATAAGTGCCTGCCATCATGCCTGGCTAATTTTTAGAGAAGGGGTCTCGCTCTTGCTCAGGCTGGTCTTGAACTCCTGAGCTCAAGCAATCCACCAGCCTCTGTCGCCTAGAGTGCCAGGACTACAGCTGTGAGCCATTGTACCTGGCCTTTGGATAGTAATTTGTTACCTTACTGAGTCTGGCTTCTAGATGGCCTATCATGGAGTTATATATTTATACAGAGAACTTAAAAACTTAATCCTCACCTACTTTTATGTAGTCAGTATGCTTTTATCATTTTCATTAATAAAGCAGTAAACTTTCAAATAGATGATTAATATGATCCAATTATAAATGTAACTAAATTACCATATCATCAATACATTTAAGAAGCAACACAATTGGGCATTACACTGGAACAGGTAATATTACTAAGCTTACTAATATAAGGTAATATTACTAACAATAATAATTGAGCAAAGAATGATAGGATTGCTTAGGGAGATAAAAAATGTTTAAAAAGCATAAGAAATGTCTGCAAGGTTGCTAATGCTGCTATAAAATATAAAATTTTAATTACTGAGTTATAATAATTTAAGATTTCTATTTTTAATATTAATGCGGTTCCTGCCATTCCTCTTCTGTAATCTTTGTAATGTTCCTCCATGTAGGATTCAGTTTTGATGCTCATAGGATTCTGAGTTCATGTTAGTAATAAATACAAAGGGGCAGATAAGAGAAAAAAAGACAACTAGGAGTATAATAATCAAATTTTAAATATGAAAGCAGACTCACAGTACATTGTATATGTGAATGTATTGTATCAGGTAACCCCTCATAATCTCAATGATCTATTCAACATTTCTACCTGATTCACAGCTCTCTGGTTCATGGTGCTCTGGTTCACTCTGGCTTTGGACGGTCAAAGTCTCTGTGGAGCAGCAGTTTATCAATCTATCCTCAACGTCAACTCCATGCTTGGTAGTAAGATCTGAAAAAGAGAGAAGAAACTCTATTATCAGCCAAAGTACCATTAAATTAATTTTTTGTAACCTTGTTCATGGCTTTTTCCTTTAAAGTATCTTGGTTGCCAATTTTCCATTGGCACCCTGTGGGTTTGCGACCTACAGAAAATATATTATAGGGCCACAGCATTAGGAAGGTTTAGAACCACTGGTTTAGAGAAAAGTAGAGATTTAGACTCCTGAATAAAATGCTTACTCAGGTGAATATTTCCCCCACGCACAGCCTCTTTTACTCCTCAACCATCAATCAAAATTACTAAAGGAAAATAAAAATGGGAAAAATCTACATAATCATTGGAAGGTAAGCTGAGGTGGGGAATCCAAAAGTCATAAACTTCAAAGAGTGAGATCTATGCCCCATTTAGCTAGAATTCTTCTTGTTTATGTTAATACTACCATTTTGGCACATGTTCTCTCAGCTCTCTGACACATTTTGCCTGCCTGTTTACTTTTTACCTTTTGGCTTTCTTTGTTCTTTTAGGTGCAACTCTTGTTAACAGTATACATGGTAGTTCTTTGATTTGAAGAAATAACTTCTCATATTTTTATTAAATGTACAAAATAGTCAAATTTATAGATAGTTTTACCTACCATTTGAGTATGGGAAACAGGGAGAAAGTTATTGCTTGTGATATTCTCGTTCACTGCTCTCCCTAGCAGTTTTACCAGTATTGTCACAACTCAAAGGTGCCTGGGACATTATCCATCCCCTGCTCTTTCAATATGTAAGTTTTCTTGTTAGAATTCCTCTGTGGTAATTACTCTGTTTTACTTTGTTAGCATCTCAGCCAAGTGAAGGCTGGGAGTATAATAATACAATCACTCAGTCAAGTCTTTGGCTGTCTTTTCCATTAGCATTTAGAGTTGAGATTTGTATCCTTCAAGCAAGCCCATGGTCCACCCTGCAGTTTTGAGGTCTGATGAATTTTGAATTCTAGTATAGCTTCAACACACTTTCTCAAGTTGGCTTTTCATTCCCTCACTTTGAAGTGGAGGCTGACTGGTAATTCCCTTGATTTAGTCTTATCTGTCTGAATTACTTCATGTGATCTACTGATAGTAAGCATCGCAGTTCTGAATAGATAGCATAGATGTTCCTTCATTCCTTCATGAAATTTTTACCTTTGATGATTTCAAATGGAATTTATAAGAGGACAGTTAAATATTTGGGCTGAAATTTTAATTTAAAATAATTCAATAATATTAATAAGCCTAACTGTGAATGACCATGTAAATTCTAGGTTATGAGTCTCCCAGTCATCTGATTCCATAAATCCGGACTCTGAGGGTTTTTTTTGGTTTTTTTTTTGAGACAGAGCTTCAAACTATCCCCCTGGGCAGAGTGCCGTGGCACCACAGTTCACAGCAACCTCCAACTCCTGGGCTCAAGCGAGTCTTCTGCTTCAGCCTCCCAAGTAGCTGGGACCACAGGCGCCCGCCACAACGCCTGGCTATTTTTTTTGGTTGCAGCTGTCATTGTTGTTTGGCGGCCTGGGCTGGATTCGAACCCGCCACCTTAGGTGTATGTGGCTGGTGCCTTAGCCACTTGAGCCACAGGTGCCGAGCCCAGACTCTGAGTTTTTTAATGTGATCCTATCTATAGTTAACTAAAGTCAGTACAGAATTTTATGGTATCTCTATCGTATATAAGAAAATAACTTTTAAAAAATTAGTATAGTTATAGGTATTTTGATTTCATTTGTATAATTATCTTGAAATAGCAAATTCATTTCAGAGAAGTTTTAAGCCTGTAAGTCATATAAAGAGGATGACAATGATGAAAGAATGTCATCAATAATAATTTAGAATTTTTTTTTTTTTTTGAGAAAGAGTCTCATTCAGTGGCCCTTAGTAGAGTGCCATGGAATCATTGCTCATGGCAACCTTACTTAGTCCCTTGCCTCAGCCTCCTCAGTAGCTGGTACTACAGGTGCCTGCCACTACACCTGGCTAGTTTTTTTTCTATTTTTAGGAGGGATGGTCTCGCTCTTACTCAAGCTGATCTTGAACTCCAGAGCGCAACCCAACCGATCCACCTGTGTTGGCTTCCCAGGGTGCTAGGATTACAGGCGTGAGCCACCACTCCTGGCCTAATTTAGAGATTTTAACATGTAATCTTAGGATATTTTTATAATATCTGGAGGTTCAGAAAGTATTTTAATATATAAGAACCTGTGTAACAAACATTAAGTTGTTATTATAAGTGATGCATTTAAAAATCAGTTCTTTACCTTTTTTGAAAAGCTTTTCATTTTCATCTACATAATTTATTATTTCTGGCATTAAATTTAATGACTCCTTCAGCTCTGAGGGTGATGGAATATCAGTTTCTTGTTTGAGGATTGTAGATTCTAAGAATTCACCCTTAAAAAAAAAGAATTCATACTTAATAGGAAAAACTTGATGGCTGAAATAATATACAGTTTTTAAAAGTTTTTAGGGAGGTTTTCAAAAAATGTATTTTGACTTCAGAAATAGATATTTGTTTAAATGGTATACCAAATTTTAAATGAAATTCATACTCCAAAACTTGTAATGCTATAGATACATTTAAAAACCAGAAGTGTAGCAAACAAGAATATATTAATTACAAGCAATGTTCTGTCTGAATAATGTCTTTTATGGTGGCTCACTACATTAGTGATGCACAATATCTCTAGATGCAGAAATGTCTTCTTTTTGACAAATAGCAAATTTAAAACATTTTAAATTAAAAACAATCCTGCAGCAGATGAGAGATGGTAAATGGAGAAAGTGAAGAGATGACAGAATGGAATGGATCTTTACTGCACTCCATGGAATATATTTCTCTTTCATTTCAACTGGAGTCTTTGACAAGTGAGACTGACTTCATGTACCACTCTCACAGTTAATAGGGGTGGCAAAGGAGGATTAGAAACAAGGGGCCAATAATGAATTAATACTTTTACCATCATGTTAAACTTTTAATTGTAAAGAAACCCTTTAAATGTTCCTAGACTTTGAATTAGTAATAAAAGTTACAAGTATAAAAAAATTTCAGTCGTCCTCAAAATAACAAGTGCAGTAGTGAGAAGAGGGGAATGAGTAGAACAAGGAGTTCAATCTGTAACTGACTATGAACAATCAAGCGAGATAACTCACTACCTTAGGACCAGCCCTCGAAAAAAACTTTTTTTTTCCAGTTTTTGGCCGGGGCTGGGTTTGAACCCGCTACCTCCAGCATATGGGGCCGGCACTCTACTCCTTTGAGCCACAGGTGCCACCCTCAAAAAAACTTTTTAAAGTAATTTTGTGCAAGCATCTAATTATATGGGCCTAATTTTTTTTTTTTTTAGCGCATTGAACTGCAAATAGTTACTGTACTCTCAACTGCTAGAATTCTTTACATACAAATATCATAATAATGATTTTGTGTGCTATAGAAACTATATGCTAAAAAGGAGAAGTTTGATCCTTAAAATGCAAAAGATAAAAAAATGCAAAAGATGCTATCTTTTTTATTATGCACTGACAGCACATAATATTTCATTTTGGACCACCTATATTCTTACATCCTCCATAAGTCACTTTTTTTTGGAGACAAAGTCTCACTTTGTTGCCCTTGGTAGAATGCTATGGTGTCACAGCTCACAGTAACCTCTACCTCTTGGGCTTAGGCAATTCTCTTGCCTCAGCAAGAGAAGTAGCTGGGACTATAGGCGCCCGCTACAACACCCAGCTATTTTTTGTTGCAGTTTGGCTGGGGCCGGGTTTGAACCCGCCACCCTCAGTATATGGGGCTGGCGCCCTACTCACTGAGCCACAGGAGCCACCCTTTTTTTTTCCTGCAGTTTTTGGCCAGGGCTGGGTTTGAACCCGCCACCTCCAGTATATGGGGCCGGCACCTTAGTCCTTGAGCCACAGGCGCAACCCCAAGATCACTTCTCTTATAGCCCAAGTAGTTTCTATATTGTGCATAACTCACAAATCAATATTTCCAGCTCCAGTCTCCAATTGGTAAATTAGACATTACTACTTAATTTTCTGTACCAGGTATATTGATGAGAATTATCAGGAGAGGTTTTTAAATTCCCTGTATCAGACCAATTAAATCAAAATACATCTGGGTAGGACTCAGGCTTCAACATTTTTTTTTAACTCCTCAGGTACTTCCAAAGTGCAGCCAAGGCTGTGGATCATTATTTAGGAATAATTTGACTCTTTAACTCACATTTATTAACATTCATTCCATTATCAAATCTTTGTAACCTGCAATTATAGATAGCCAAATTATATAGTAAAATTCACAAAAGTGTGCTTTATAACTTTTTTTTTTTTTTTTTGAGATGGAGCCTCAAGCTATCCCCCTGGGTAGAGTGCCATGGCATCACAGCTCATAGCAACCTCCAACTCCTGGGCTCAAGTGAGTCTCCTGCCTCAGCCTCCCAAGTAGCTGGGACTACAGGCACCTGCCACAATGCCCGGTCATTTTTTTTTTTTTTTTGGTTGCAGCCATCATTGTTGTTTGGAGGGCCGGGGCTGGGGATTCGAACCCGTCACCTTAGGTGTATATGGCTGGCGCCTTAGCCGCTTGAGCCACAGGTGCCTAGCCTACTTTATAACTTTTATAAAAATGTTATTGGAAAAAAAACAGTACAACCTTTAAATATTTAAAAGATAGTTAAACCTACTGTATCTTCTAGTTTCTCTTTACAAAAGTTCTCTTCATACATACAAAAGTCTTCTTTCACAAAAACATCCAGATCTTCTTGAAAAGACAAACATTCCCTTAAAAAGACATTTATTAGTGTTTACTAAAAGCACATAACACACCAAATGTAGCTAACCAAAACAGTTAAAGATCAAAATTAAAGGGAAGGTAAAGCAATAATCAATATTACTATTGATAGCATCTAAATTTGTGATCAAAGACTATTTTTTCCTCTTAAAAATATTTATAGCATTGAGCTTAACTGTACCTGGGAAAATCAGTTTCTGCAAAGATCTTTTCTTTGAAATCTAAAAGGGAGTCCATTACCAAATATAGTTTTAGTCAACTCAAGGGAGTATGCAAAGATGGTAGATGATTTTTATAAGTCATTAAACTATTTAAAAATATTATTTCTTCTTCATCAATACATAAATCTGAAAAGAAATAAGAAATATAGAATAAGAAAAAATCTAAAAGTTACACACAGGGTCTAGAGAGTTATTGTAATCAGTCATTAGTTGAGCTTTTCAAATACATTTTAAATTCTTCAATTCTTCATTGTACTGTGCATATAAAGCGAATAGCATAATACTTTTAACATAGTTAAAAGTGCAAGAAATTTTAATATTATTTAATACACCAAGGAGTAGCCAAACCCCAATACATCTGTAAAGGCTTATACTTGATTAACAAAAACTAGTTTAGTCAAGGGAAGAAAATTCCTTATGCTTCAAAATAGCTAGGAACAACCCACGCAAAATTTTAAAGAAATAAAAGCCTTTGACTTTTGCTGACTCTTAAAGTCTCCAATCCATTCCCCCAGAATCTCTGACATGCAGGGAATGGTGGTGGCCTAGGGAACCTACAAATAAGACTAATTTGGGTTCTATCATTCTAAGGTTAAACAATTAACCATAGATGGTTTCTATAAAATTAATTACAGTGAAAGTTACATAGCAAAGTATCTACTTGAGAAGTGTGATATATTAAGAAACACTACTTCTGGGCTACTCTTACTGGAGAAAAGGGAACACTTCTGTACTGCTGGTGGAAATGCAAGCTAGTACATTCCTTGTGGAAAGAAGTTCACTCAGGGATCTAAATGTAGGCCTGTCGTTTGATCCTATAATTCCTCTACTAGGTGTATATCCAAAAGACCAAAAATCACTTTGCAACAAAGATATCTGCACCAGATTGTTCACTGCAGCTGAGTTCATAATTGCCAAGTCATAGAAGAAACCCAAGTGCCCATTGACCCATGAATGGATTAATAAATTGTGGTATATGTATACCATAGAATACTATGCAGCATTAAAAAAAGATGGATACGTTACCTCTTTTATGTTTACATGGATGGAGCTGGAAAATATTCTTCTTAGTAAAGTATCTCAGGAATGGAAAAAAAAAATCCAATGTACTCAGTACTATTATGAAACCAATTTATAATCACTAACACTTTCATATGAAAGATGAATCACAACTATAGCCCAGGATGAAGGAGGGGAGGGGATAAAAGGGGAGAGGGGTGGTTTGATAGAGGGAGGGTAAACGGTGGGAACACACCTATGGAGCATATTGCAAGGGTACAAGTCAAATTTATCAAGTACAGAACACAAATGTCTTAATACATTAATTAAGTAAATGAGGTGAAAGCTATGTTAATTAGTTGGATATAAGCACTCCAATTTGTACCAAAAATCAACACATTGAATCCCACAAAGGCATAAATGTATTCGTGATCTATGTATATATGGCTTAATAAAAGGAAAAAAAAACCTGTAATAACTTTAAATTAGAATTAAAGAAGGTTCTACTCACATATATAAAAAAAGAAATACTACTTCTAACAGTTAATTGCTGGAATAAACCTCTACTTTACATCCCCACTCTGCCATATTTGGCTTAATTTAGAAACTTTAACGGTTTCTGAGCCACAGGAGGGAAAATAAAACCTACTCCCATTCCTCAATAAGCTCCTGACTAGATAGAGAAAAAGGGAAATGTAAGTTCAGATGAGGAATTGCTCATAAAACCAAGCTCCCAAATGTGAAAGCCACCTTGAGGAGGGAACAATGGTCTTTTATTCTGGCAGTGGCTTTTCAGTTAAGTGATACAGAATGGATTGAGAGAAGAATAAACAGTATGGAGTTTTCAGGTAGACATGTCTCCCATGGTTAACTACAGAACTGGTATACATGTTCCTAATAATCATGTCATGTAACACTGGCAGCCAGGGAAAATCCCTTTGCCTGGTGCAAAAGAGAACTTGTGATATGTTCTAGCTTCTTAAGAAATTATTTATCTGAACCTGCTGAATTCCTGACAGTCTTATGACCAAAAGCTTCCTATGATACACCAAAGTAAGCTATCCAATCAATTTCATATTTAAGGCAGTTTATCTGAGAAAGTTAGAGAGGATTTATTTGTAATCCATTTTATAAGTACTAATGATATCATATTAATAATATATTAATAGTAAAGACATACATTAACAATAAAACCCCAAATAGTTATATTCCCTATCCACCTTCCACTTCCAAATACAGACCCTCCAGTTGTCTTCCCTATCTAGAGCCTCATTCTGACATTTCTAGGTGTTTATGGGAGACATTACACATCAGTTCTGAGGTTGTTTTCCAACCACCCTTTTTTTAATTGAACCACTTGAGGGCAGCATCACATCACAACCTATATTTTTTATAATTATACTACGGTTATTTTACCAAGGGTGCTACTTCCTTTTTGGACTGACAATTCAAATCTTCTAATTCCAAATACAGGTTCTTTCTACCATATCGTGCTTTCAAGTTATTCTTAAGTACATTTCATCTCTCTCTCTCCTCAAACTATAAGAGGAATTTATTTCTCTATATCATTACATACCCACTTGCCAAAGCTAAAAGTTTATATACATGATTTGTGTTTCAACATAAAAATAACAGTAAAAGAATCAAATTAGCTTCATGCTCAAGCTACAGCATTTATTAAATCATAATCATAATTATATAACAGAGTTTTAAATTTTATAATTTAGAAAGGGAATAGGCTGTCATACACATGAGAAAGGCCATGGTTAGAAAAAGTTAGCACCCTCTAGTAAGATCTGGATAAAATATACTTTTAATTATTATTGATAATAAGTTTATAATACTGAGTATAGTATTACAAACTCTTAGCAAGTTTAAACATGGTTAGAAAAAGTTAGCACCCCCTAGTAAGATCTGGAATATAGTTTGGATAAAATATACTTTTAATTATTATTGATAATAAGTTTGTAATACTGAGTATATTTCCTGACCTAATATTGTAATTATTCCATCTCTACTTTGACCTTGGTTCACATAAACCAAAGATTGAAAACCTTTAGCATGTTTTGAAAAAGAAAAAATAACCACTGATTCACAATCTAGTATTTATTTATTTTTATTTATTTAAATTTTTTAGAGATAGAGGCTCACTTTATCACACTCAGTAGAGTGTTGTCGTGTCACAGCTCATAGCAACCTCCAACTCCTGGGCTTAGGTGATTCTCTTGCCTCATCCTCCCAAGTAGCTGGGACTACTGGCACCCGCCACAATGCCTGGCTATTTTTTGTTGCAGTTTGGCTGGGGTCAGGTTCAAACCCACCCTCAGCATATGGGGCCAGTGCTCTACCCACTGAGCCACAGACGCTGCCCACAATCTAGTGATTTAATGTTACACTTGGATTACTATGTCATGAAATCTGTAAACAGATGCCAATATTATGTACAAATAAAAAATTTTTAAACTCACAAGAATGAAAATCTGTATAGTAGTAAGAAACATTTTACAACAACTGAAACAACAAATGTTTTACCTTGGTACTGTTCTGGAAGTGCTGGACATTTTTTGGAACAGTTGATAGGTGTAAAGACTTCATTGTAGCTTTTGTGGGTATATAAACTGGCTTCCTCTAATTCAGTCGGAGAGTTTGGATTTGAACTTGGAACAACTTCCTCAAAGTTACAATTAATTTGGGTCACCATTCCAGTAATTGTTTTTCTATGACATTACAAAATTACTGATTATATGTATGTCCTATTTTGAAACATTTTTGTTAACAAATAGTCTATGTTCATTGTAGAAAAAAATTATCAAATTCCAACAGATACACAGAAAAATCATCCATAGTTCCATCACTCCAGATGAATGCAAAAATTATGTAAATTTCTCAATTATTTTTGACTACTTTAAAACATAAGTGGAAGAATGAACAGAGTATTCTGTAACCTGTTCTTTTCTGCTAAACAATGAAGTGCATTTACTGTCAGTCAATGTACATTCACTTCATTTTTGAATGGATTAATAAGATCTCATTATATCAGAAAAATCACAATTTACTCAACCAGTTCCCTATCGCTGGAAATTTAAGTTTTATTTTAATTGTCTGCTATTATGAATAACAATGCAAGGACTACATAAAACCTCATTTTTCTGTATGGCTATTATTTTTAGTGTGCAATTTTGTAGAACATAAGGTTTTTCAGGTACACAGAATAGAAAATGCCTACATATGTCAAAATACAGTATACCAACAAAGTATCAAGAGTAAAATAATTGAGGCTTTAGAATCAATGTTAAGAAGCAAGAAAAACAGAAAAAAGAAACAACACTGAAGAGAAAGAAAAGAAAGATTTAGGAAATCTATGTAACACTAAATAAAGTTCCTACTAAGTTTTGTATTAGGAGCTAATACAAAATTGTACTAGCTCCTAAATTAATAAAAATTAAATTTTACTGCATGAGACAAAAGAGACATTAAAAATGACTTAAACAAACCCCTAACTCTGTAGGTTAACAGTTAATGGCTGGTAAGGCAGTTCTACAATGTTAGAGACTAAGGCTCCACTCCACCATTCCTGCATTTAGTTTTTGTCAGCATAGTCCAAGATGGTTACTGGAGCTAGTTATTACATCCTTATTCCATCATCAAGAAGGAAAAAAGTAAAGGAGAAAAACATGTCCCTTCCCTTTGACATTCCTGGAAAACTGCGTAAGCCTCTTTTGCTTATATCCATTGGAAAGAAGAGGTCACATGGCTGTGTCTGGTTACAAGAGGACTGAGAAATATCAATTTGGTTCTGGGTAGTGCTACAGATTCTATGTTATTTGACATGGAATCTATCTTGGCTTTGTAAAATGAACAGAGGGTCAAATATGATAGGGTGGCCATTCTTTCAAACTAGTCTAGTCATTGCCTTTGCTGAATACAGTACTTATTGCATATTCCTGCCTCTATTCCTTCAAACATGTTGTCTCCTCTGCTTTAACAGCTTTGTCAATTCCTCCTTCAATGCTCAGCCCAAGCTCAATTTTTACTTCTTTATGAAGCTAACCTTTCCTTACAAATTCCCTACTGAAGTAACTCAGAGGGTAAAAAGAGATCTTAGAGAGAATCTTGTATCTTGTTACTCAGAGTAGGTCCCTGGAAAAGCAGGATCAGCAACACCTAGAAACAGATTAAAAGTGCAGAATCTCAGGCCTAACACAGACTGAATCAGAATCTGAATTTTAATAAGATTCTCAGGTGATTCATAATGTTCAGTAAAGGCTGAGAGCACTGATCCCTTACCATCATATTCTTAAAGGACATATGGGTCCCAGGTAAAATGACTAATCTAGTAGTTAGCATTTGATTCCAGTCAAGATTTGAAATTCACATCTTTTAATCCATAGCACAGAGCTCTTTTCACTGTATCTTGCTGATTCCTCACTTTCTCAGGAGTTTATTCATGTGATAGATACTTCTTATTGGTCTTATGACTTGTGATAGACCTTATGTTGGTCATCTTATACTGCCATTTAATTTTTTGCATTGTTTTTTCTTCTATGTTGATATGTTATCTCCCTAATCTGACTTTTAAATTCCTAGATGACAGAATGGTATGTTGGGCTTCACCGTACATAGGGTCTACACACATTTAAATGGCTTTTAAGCACAACTAAGAAAAACTTAAATTATTAAAACTTGAATATGTGAATAATAATGAAATCCTTCCTGGATCTGATCAGTACTTTATGCACGAAGAGAAGTAACACAGTAAGTTTTATATCGGGACTGAAATCACGAGTTTATGTCTACATTAACAATGTTGAATGAGTTAGATGTTTAGAGTACTAGGATTACAGTTGTGAGCCACTGAGCCCAGCCACTTCTGTAATATAATCTCTTTTTGTAGTTCAAATTAGGGCTTTTTCTTTAGGTAAAAGAAGAAAAATCTATGAGGAAATAAAGGAAGGGACTTTTCCCCTTTAGGTACCTAGAGAACTTACTGTTTATCTTCTCCTAAATATAAAAGGGAAATCTGAGGTTAAAGACAAACACATACTTCTCAACGAAATCCTCCATGAGACTTGCTTTCCGTTGATCAAAGATGGAGTTGTCCGTCATTCCCCAAACTGGAATAGCTGAGACTAGAAAGGAGAATAGTACACATCAGCTTTTAGAATTGTCTTTTATGGCTCGGCGCCTGTGGCTCAAGCGGCTAAGGCACCAGCCACATACACCTAAGGTGGTGGGTTCGAAT